GCTCGGCGGGAAGCCTGCTTCTCCCTCTCCCACTTCCCCTGCTTGTGTTCCCTCTCTTGCTGTCTCTCTCTCTGTGTCAAATAAATACATAAAATCTTCAAAAAAAAAAAAAAAAGAGTCTGTTTCTTGGTTTGTCTCTTTCCCTCTTTTTTCCCTTTGCTTATTTCTTTGGTTTCTTAAATTCCACATGTGAGTGAAATCATATGGTATTTGTCTTTGACTGACTTATTTTGCTTAGCATTATGCTCTTCTAGCTGTATCCATGTCATTGCAAATGGCAGGATTTCATTCTTTTTGATGGCTGAGTGATATTCAATTGTGTACATATACCACATCTTCTTTATCCATTCATCTATCAGTGGACACTTGGGCTGCTTCCATAATTTGGCTCTTGTAAATAATGCTGCTATAAACATAGGGGTGCCAAGAGTGTGAAAGTTAATCCCAAATTACCCCACAGAATATTAGGAACTTCAGAAGCTGATACAAAAGTTCAACATGAGTTGAAGTGCAAAGAATGCTTTTGAGGGGGGAAGGAGAGTTATAGGGCTGGGCTGCATTATAAGTGGCTGCAGACTTCAGTCCCACCTGCACCATGGGTGGCCATGTCTACTTCAGGACCAGATAGCCAGCTTGTGTACGTGCTCATGGTGGTCATGCAGAAGGAGCTTATGGCTACAGAAAATGCATTTTGTGCATATGGATTTTTTTTGAAGATTTTATTTATTTGACACAGAGCACAAGCAGGGGGAGCAGCAGAGGGAGAGGGAGAAGCAGGCTCCCTGCTCAGCAGGGAACCCGATGTGGGGCTTGATCCCAGGACCCCAGGATCATGACCTGAGCCGAAGGCAGACGTTAGTAACTGACTGAGCCACCCAGGCAACGCTGCATATGGATTTTTGACATAACCACTATGCTCAGGAAATCCTTGAGAATCAAAGAGCCCTGTCCATTAGGTTGTTTCCACAACCAATGGCTGATCCCTGGCTCCAAGTCAAGAGGGCATTGGTCATTCTGTTTCCTGAGTGATCTTTAGTGATCTTTATCTCGTTAGAATTTCGTTTGGGGAAAAAAAACAAAAGTACCTTTTAATGTGAACTGAGATTAGATTACTGGCTGACCTGGTTATGTTGTCTTCTCTGCTTTATTTGGATTGTTGCTAAGGAAATTGGGGGGTTAGTCCCCCCCTGGTTCTTCACCTGGTTTTAGAAATGACTTTCTCATGGTTATGATTTTATTTTTAACCATACTTGTCCTCTTGATGGTGTTTCTTGAGATCTTTTACTCCACAGAGTCTATTCTTTGGTGCCCCTAGGCTTAGCTTAGGACCTAAGATACTTTTTCTAAAAACAGTATTGAGGTACTCGTCTGGGAGATCCATAGCCTCACATCCGGGGCAACCTAATCAGCTGAGAGTGCTGTGGGCCAGGCTGCCAGTCACTGAGTCAACAGAGGTGTGAGGGCTTTACGTACCATTCTTCCCTCCTCTTCACTGCTATCTCTGTGAGATAATCATGTGTGATTTGTAGTATTTATGTTCTTGGAGATAAAAAACTGACGTCTTTTGTCTTATTCTAATCTTTGCTTCTGAAGTTAATCAATGACATCATTTTATAGAATCAGAGAAAGATCTTCGATACATTGGCAAAATTTTGGATGGATTTTCCTTGGCTTCTAAACCTTTATCTTCTAAGAAAGTAAGGAAAGCATTTATTTATTTCTTTATTTTACTGGTTTAGTACTTAAAATCTTTGCTGCTATGTAATCTGAATTATTATATTAACAATTGAAAATTAAGTAAATTCTGTTTTCAAAAAGCAACAGTATAATTACTAGTGATTGTCCAGGTAAACATATTTTGCATTAGAAATGTCAGTCGGTAATCACAATGTATCCAAAATACCTAATTGCTTATCTTTTATTAATTTTTTAAAAATTTTATTGTTATGTTAGTCACCATACAGTACATCATTAGTTTTTGATGTAGCGTTCCATGATTCATTGTTTGCATATTTTAATCGCTAATCTTTTAAATCCAAGCTCCAAGTAAGTGGTTATTTCCATTAAAAAAAGAATTACATTACAAACTGGGGGTGGGGTGGGAAATGGAATTGATAAAATTCCAAGGGCAGTGTAACTTAAGGAAACGTAGAAAATTTCAAGAAGTCATAAAACGCCCCTGTCCTGCTTCCTTCTGAACGCCATGAAGAGTGTTGGCTGGTGTGGACAGGGTTCCCTGGATTCCTTGCCTGGGCAAACAGAAGGGAGGGAGGCCACGTGCCTGTAGGTCAAGCCCCATGGAGAGCTCCGCATGCATTTCCAGAGAGTCCTGTTTTTGTGAGATCGTTGTACAGCTTAGGCCAAGTGGTACTCTCGCCACCCATCAGAGCCATGTGCTCACAGGCAGGCGTCACTGGGTTACAGGTGCTGGTGGCTCAGGTGGGGCTCCTGGCTATTTGCCTTGTTGGCATCCCGTTTTAGATGGTTCCATACTTTAATTTGCTCTTTGTTTCTGTATTCAGCAAATATTTGTTAAGTACCTCTGTGGCTTGGCCTGTGGTCCCTCAGAACAGGGGAGGTCAGGGGCAGTGCAGCCTAAAAAACATTCGGGGTTACAGTAGCTTTGATTTGTTTAGTTGTGATAGTGTGTTGGAACAGCGAGCAGAACATATTCAGAACAGCATTGGGCACATCATAAGGCGCTGTTATTAACCAGAAATGTCAAGTAACGTCAAAGGAGAATGGGGGTTTTTTATGTGTCTGAAGGGAGAGCAGAAAAGAGGCTGGGAAGTACTCACTTGTCTCAGGGCTCAAGGACTCCCTCCAGGGCTTAGTAGGACTAAGTCCTGGCCCCCAAGAGCAGCCCTCCCCCAACAGGGGCGCCAGAAGCACGAATTCACTCTAGCGGGGCCTCACTCTAGCGGGGCCGAGGGCCGTGACCCGGGTGACAGGCATTGGGGCGCTGTTTGCTGGAGTAGTGCTTTGGGCGGAGCGACTTAGAGGAGGGCTGTGTTCCCTAGCCTTTCACACACAGGCCAGTTTTGTACACGTGTGGCCAAAAACCCAGGCTCTGCATCCAGATGCCAAACAGAACAGTGATTTCGCAGAGGGAGGGAAATGCCTGAGTCCACTGGAGTGTATTAAGAAGAGTCATGGCTGCTCACCCCCCCTTTGCTGCCGTGTCCTCTGGATTTTTGTGTCGTGGCCGTAAAGGAGGGTTTGCCAGCTGACCTGGGAGCCCACGCGTTTAGAGAAGGTGGTCAAGCTGAGATGAGAAAGAAATGAGACCTCCTGGCAGTGATGCCAGCTCTCTTCATGGGCTGTCACGGTGCTGGGTGCTTACTGCGGCTGCGCGTCTCAGCCACCTGGGGACCCCACCTGGCACCAGCTGTGTGCGGTGGGACGCGGGCATCAGTGTCGTTAAACCCTCAGGGGAGCCCCGTGTGCAGCCGGGCCCCAGAACCACAGCCAGAGAGCATTCAGGGTGGCCCTGGTTGCGGAGCTCAGTCAGGGTTTCAGGTAGCTGAAGACTCTAGAAAATGGCTTATATAAGACTGTCCATAAATACATGTTTGTTAGACTCAGAGCAAGGGAGACCGTTTAGCACAGTAATTTAAAAATTTTATTTATTTATTTGACAGAGAGAGACACAGCGAGAGAGGGAACACAAGCAGGGGGAGTGGGAGAGGGAGAAGCAGGCTCCCCGCGGAGCAGGGAGCCCGATGCGGGGCTAGATCCCAGGACGCTGGGATCGTGACCTGAGCCGAAGGCAGACGCTCAACGACTGAGCCACCGAGGTGCCCCTAGCACAGTAATTTAAAAGTACCTAATACTTTTCTGTTTTGTCATCGTCAGTGCCTGAATTCCTCAAATATATTTCAATTTCAGTCCGGTCAGCGTTTGAATTAAAACTACCTCAGATAGGGCGCCTGGGTGGCTCAGTTGGTTAAGCGACTGCTTTCGGCTCAGGTCATGATCCTGGAGTCCCGGGATTGAGTCCCGCATCGGGCTCCCTGCTCGGCAGGGAGTCTGCTTCTCCCTCTGCCCCTCCCCCCTCTCATGTGCTCTCTCTCATTCTCTCTCTCTGAAATAAATAAATAAAATCTTTAAAAAAAAAAAAAACTACCTCAGATAAAAAAATAAGTCCCAAAGCTCTAATTTGGAACTGAAACGTAACCAGAAAAAGAATTCTGAATTTAAAAGCAACTTATTTAGAGTTACTACTTTTTTTTTCTAAGTCTCGAATCATACTTTTCTAAATGTTCTGATTTTCAGTAGGCCAGTTGTGTGTGTGAGCCAGTACGTTGTGTTAACTATTGCCATCTTTCTTATCACATAAAATACGCGTATTCGCATCTCTCTGTAGAAGTGGGCAGGGGTAATATTAAAAATGTGTGGTCCCGGTGGCCCTCCAGATCCAGAATGGTTGTTGGCTGGACACCTGGAGGGGCTGTGCCCAGTGCGACCTCCCTGCTGGAGGCTGGCCTGGCGAGGGCAGGGTTAACAACACTCACGGGATACGGTTTTCTTGGTTAAGTCAAACATGGTCATCTCACAGCCTGTCTTTTCTGAGGTTTTTTTTTTTTTTTTTTAAGACTTACCCACCACCTGAATTGCCAAGAGACTATCGACCGGTGCATTACTTCAGACCTGTGGTAGCTGCAACCTCAGAGAACTCCCGCTTACTCCAGGTATTGTCCGAGTCAGCTGGAAAGTCAGTGCCTGACCCAGGGACACACAGTAGACACCAACTGAATGCCTCCAAACGGGGGGAGTTGCTGGGAGAAACACCTGTTCAAGGTAGGTGCCATGAAGAAGATTAAGAACGTTACGTTTATAATAATTGGAGTTACCAAAGTCAAAATGGACAGTTGTTTTCTCAATGACACCTTTTAGGTGGTTTAGTACTCCCACACAAAATTGTGTATTGTGAATGGCACACATAGCAGTGTATGGATCCCTTTTTTTTTTTTTTAAGATTTTTTATTTATTTATTAGAGAGAGCACAAGCAGGGGGAGCAGCAGACAGAGGGAGAGGGAGAAGTAGGCTCCGTGCTGAGCAAGGAGTCTGATGTGGGACTCGATCCTGGGATCATGACCTGAGCCGAAGGCAGACGCTTAACCGACTGAGCCACCCCGGTGCCCCCATATCTCATACTTTTTTTTTTTTTTAAAGATTTTATTTATTTATTTGACGGAGAGAGAGATAGCTAGAGCAGGAACACAAGCAGGGGGAGTGGGAGAGGGAGAGGCAGGCTTCCTGCCGAGCAGGGAGCCCGATGTAGGACTCGATCCCAGGACCCCAGGATCATGACCTGAGCCGAAGGCAGACGCTTAACGACTGAGACACCCAGGCGCCCATATCCCATACTTTTTAAGACTTGTTGTCTTCTAACATAAGTTTGGGTTGTGCCATTGAAATCACAACCCTGGTCTTAAGTTCAGCAGTTTTCAGACTTGGAATAATTGCCAGGAATGTGGTGCAGACCAGGACACGGTGCTTTCCCTGTCCCTACAGAGCCTGGGAAAGTGTGATTTTTTTTCTCAGGGAAAAGGGTACTGTAGCTAAAAGGAGCAAGTGCATCTGAAAGCGTGGACAAGTGTGGAGAATCTCTTGTAGGTTGGTGCAGAAAGACCCTCAGTGAGAGGTGACCTTGGACTTGGCAGTTGGGAGCCTGATAGGTATCTCAAATATAATAGACCACAGCAGAAGTTGTGGTTCCCCACTTCCTATTCCAGACTTGCTCTTCCCCCGGTTTTCCCGTTGTCAGTGACCCACTGCTTAGACCAGAATGTAGGAATCCTAATTCCTTCCCCCGCTCCAGGTCCATCAGCGAGTCCTCTCAGCGCTGCCCCCAACACCCTGGGGACCCCATCCTGTGTTTCCACTGCTTCCAGCTGGGAGTAAGCGCCCATCCTCCCTCACCTGGACCATTGTGGGGCCTCTTTATTGGCCTCCTTACTTTCCCGCTGTCCTCTCTGCTGATGAACCAAATCATATCACTGCCCCTCTTAAAACACTCCAGTCCTTCTCACACTGAAGACAAATCCAGACTCCCCCACAGGGTGCGTGATCCAGCCCTGACTCCTTTTCAGGCCATGTCTTATCCCACTCTCCCGTAACCCCCTGCACTGCAGCCTTGTGATCCTGCTTTCTGCCCTCTGACCCCACCCACCACGACGTGCTGGCTGCTGGGGCCTTGACATTCACTGTCTCCTCTGCCTCTGCTCTTCCCTCACACTTTGGCTCCTTTTACTCAACTCACCACAACTACGATCTCTTTGGAGGGAGCTTCCAGGCTTTCCCTGCCCCCCTCCCCCACCACGTGCTAGTGATTCTCCACACCCCACTCCCAGCCCTCGTCTGTCAGTCTCCTTCGGTGGTGTCACCCTGTTTCCTTTACGGTCCTCCTCTCGTAGCCGTCCTCGGGGCTTGACTTTGGGCTTCTCTAAAGCCCGTGCCCCTAGCTAGTGAGAGCGGGGCCTTGTCTGCGGTGTCCTCACGGCCCAGGCCAGTGCCCTGGGGGTGCTGTGACAGGAGTGAACGCTGCAGGGGCAGCTGGCTCTGAGCCGGGGCTTGTGCCGGGCAGGACTGTCGGGTGGTGGCCCCTCAGGCTGGGGGTCCCGAGCCGGGGATGTCAGCTCCCTCATTCTAGGACCACTCACTGCCCCGATAAACATCCGCGTTTTGGCCTGCACTTCTGCCCGCTGTAAAGCACGAGTCTTGTTATTTCATCACTGTCTAGTTCACAGGGCTGTTACAAATACAGATGGAAAATCTAAGTGTGACATGCTCCAGCGACATACATTTGTGATATTGAATGCATATGCACCACAGAAATGTCAATATAGTTGTCTTAGGATACTTCTCATCTCTTCCTGTTATTGTTTTTATTTAGGTTCGGCTACTTCAGTGTTAGAGTTTCTGTCCCAAAAAGATAAAGAGAGGATCAAAGAAATGAAGCAGGCAACTGACCTGAAAGCAGCTCAACTCAAGGCCAGGAGTCTGGCCCAGAATGCCTCCAGCAGCAGAGCCCAGCCCTCCTCCTCAGACGTCGGGCACTGCTCGTGGCGCGTGGCACTGAGTGGTGGGACAGCCCCCACGAGAGCCAGCAACTTCAAACCTTTTGCAAAAGATCCAGAAAAGCAAAAACGATATGAAGAGTTTTTAGTAAATATGAAACGGGGTCAGAAAGGTGGGTGCTAGGCCTGGGTCTCCCACCTCTCAGCTGAAGGGAAGCACTCTCGCTCTTCTGGCCCTAGTCCCAGATTTGGATTTGAAGCATCCCACTCTGCCAGTGTTTTGCTTTGTCCGGCTGCAAACAGTGCAAAGATTGTAGTCCCTGGCTCTTGACCTTAGAAAGTAAGAACAAGTAGCTTGTGTTTCTCCATATCTCAGGTCCCAAAGATAGCTGTTGTAAGTAGAGAGAACACGCCTTGGTGGTGGCTAATGCTAAACCACAGACCGTTTACTATTTGCAAATGCTTGCCTTCTGTAAGTGTTCTATTTCACACCAAGAGAACAAGGTCATCTCCCACTTTATCTTAAAATCCTAATAAACCAGCCCTAAATCATGGTCTAAAATTTGATTTAAAAAGGTGGTTGGCTTTGAACCATTAAAAGGGGAAAAATCACTCTCTAGTCTATGGAGTAAATTTGGGCAGACTGAGGAGGGGGATTGGTGTCATTCACGGTAGTGGTTGTGAGAGTCGACAGCAAATCTGAAGCATTGGTTTTCTTTTCTTTTTTTTTTAAGATTTTATTTATTTATTTGAGAGAGAGAAAGGACAAACGGTGGGGAGGGGCAGAGGGAGAGAGGGAGAGAAGCACACTCCCTGCTGAGCAGGGAGCCCGACTTGGGGCTCCATCCCAGGACCCTGAGATCATAACCTGAGCCAAAGGCAGACACTTAACTGACTGAGCCACCCAGGCGCCCCTGAGGCATCAGTTTTCAAAAGCAGAGGGCGGTCTATTGTGACTTCACTCCCTACTAAGAACCCACCCACTGATGTTTATTTGTTGAGTTTAAAAAAAGTTAGAGAAAGGAGTGTTTTTTTTGCCAAAACTAGGAATATAGTTGGGATGAACTTATCACTATTCAGGAGTGGTAGCAAGTTCCTGGTTTCGAAGATTTAACAAGCAAAATGTTTTTCTCTGTTCTGTGAGGTAGACAGAATTCAATAAAAGAATCATGCTGAGGGGGAGAGCACTATTACCTGACAGGTACTCCCCACCATGCTCTTAGAAACCAGGGTAAGGATTGGCGTCCCCTCTGGTAAAATCTATAGGGATACAGTGGGACCCACTTGATATTCTCCTTTAAGCCCTATGTTTTTCCTAAGAGTGAAGCAATTTGTTTTTCCTTGTACTGTAGATGCCCTGGAACGTTGTCTGGACCCCAGCATGACAGAGTGGGAGCGAGGCCGTGAGCGGGATGAGTTTGCTCGGGCAGCTCTACTCTATGTGTCTTCCCATTCAACCTTGTCCTCCAGATTCACACATGCCAAGGAGGAGGACGATTCAGATCAGGTGGAAGTCCCTCGAGACCAAGAGGTCTGTCGCCACCATGTCCCTATCTGATGAATTTTAAAATTAAAACAAATATTTTAGGTCCCTCAATGGAATGATCACCATAGACACAGTATTATAGAATAAGAAATGATTTTATGCTTTTAGCTTCCGATATAGTTTAGCAAAAAATGTTGCAGCATAACAGCTGTTTTGTAATTTTGGACGATTGCTTGAAAACTTTTCAGTGGAAGAGCAGTCAGGTCAATGGTGTGACCACTTGATGAAAGAGAATAAATGTCTTTTCCCAGAACGATGTCAATGACAAGCAGTCAGCTGTGAAGATGAAGATGTTCGGGAAGCTCACCCGAGACACATTTGAGTGGCACCCTGACAAGCTTCTATGTAAGAGGTTTAATGTCCCTGACCCTTATCCAGAGTAAGTGGATAAATCTGCCCTTACATCAGTACTCACTTTCCCGTATTAAAGCTATCTTTCCCTCTCAGCTACTCATGTAAATTCCCTTTTTCTAGATGAATTTACTTGTAAATGCTTAGAGTTGCAGGTTTAACTTCCATTGATTTGTTACTAAAAAAATAAGCAAACATCCAGGAAGCAAACTTTATTCCATATCGAAGATACGAAACTCAGATATGTCAAGTAACAAAAACTTAATGCTCGTCTAATTTGCTGCTTTTTTAACAATGCACGTATAGTTTACATTTAAAATGTTACTTATGCTAATTCTTTATAAAAGTTTGACACTTATTTAATTATAAACACTACAAAAAAGCATATATAGTTGAATCAGAGGTTTTGTCAGAAAATTTAGGTATATTTTTAGCAGTGGAACTTTTCCTTAATGGAAATACATTCTCTTTTTCTTTTTT